TCTATTCTCTCCTTGCGTGCCAGTTAAACATATTAACAAATATTGAACAAATATATTGTGATACCAGCTGGGGGCCAGGCAACGAGTAGGGCACACAATTAAATGAGACAAAGTCTTTGTCCTCCAAGAGTTCATAGACATGTAAGCAAATAAACTGAATCATAGAACAAGTTCAACAAAAGAAGTGACTGGAAGACGGAGCATGGAGTAAAAAGAGTGATCAGTTCTATCTCTGAGCTTAAGGGAAGGCTTCCTGGAAGAGGTGATGTCTGAATAGGGTTTTGGAGGATGATAACTTACACATGGAGGAGCAGCAAAAGTCCATTCTAAGAGAGATAAAAGCATATACAAAGGCATAGAAGTCCAAAATTGAGCAACATATACAGAAGTAAAAAGTAGTTAAGCATCGCTAAGGTATCAAATGAAAGGTGGGTCATAGCAGGAGATGAGGCCAGAGAAACAGGCAAGGGCAACATTGGGAAAGACCTCAAACACCACTACTCTATCCAAAGAATAGGGTGCCCGGGAGGAATTTTAAGCAGGGAAGGGGTATATTTAGACCAGCACTTTAGAAAGATTAATTACTCTAGTTGCATTATGCAGGATGGATTTCAGGGGGAGGAAGTGAAGGGGAAGCTGGGTGAGGGGCAGGTTATTTAGAGGCAAAAAGATTTTTCAGGGGCCGGCCCGGTGGCGCAAGCGGTTAAGTGCGCGCGCTCCGCTGCGGCGGCCCGGGGTTCGCTGGTTCAGATCCCGGGCGCGCACCAACGCACTGCTTGGCAAGCCATGCTGTGGCGGCGTCCCATATAAAGTGGAGGAAGATGGGCACAGATGTTAGCCCAGGGCCAGTCTTCCTCAGCAAAAAAAGAGGAGGATTGGCAGATGTTAGCACAGGGCTGAACTCCTCACAAAAAAAAAAAAAAAAAAAAAAGATTTTTCAATAATCCCTGTAGGAGATCACGAGGGCCTGAACCTAATCAGCAGGAGTCAGTGGGGGAAGAAATAGATTCAAGTGATTTCTTGGGGGTAACATTGCTAGACCTTAGAGATTCTGGCTTTCCTATGTGGTCCCCTTCTTCCTCAGAGAGCAAGACTCTTGCAGAGTCTAGCAAAAGGGGGGGTCCATAATTGAGAGATCACAGCCACGGCATGCCAGAAGTCATTTCATCATCCTGTTCTCCTCAGACTGGGGCATGCAGAGCATCTCACTGAGCTCATGGCCACCTTCTCCAGATTTGACCAAGATGGGAATCGCATCCCGGATGAGAAGGAGCAGGAACAAATGCAACAGGACCTGGAGGGGGAGAGGGTGAGCCCAGCTGGTTGGTGGAGAGGCAGCATAAAGAAATTACTCACCCTCCCCTCCCTGCAACACACCCAGGACACAAACCCAAACTGAAAATCCTCTGATAGATGGGCAGGAAAGAGCTCTCTAGAATAGTGGTTCTCAAACCACTGTACGTTATAATACCTTGGTGGGGTTTTTTAAAATCCTCATCACAAGTCACATACCCTAGACCAGAACTGCTCGGGGTTTGGGGGGTCCAGACGGCAGTACTTTAAAAAACTCCCCAGGTGATTCCAATGCATAGCCAAGGTTGAGAACCATTGCTCTCAAACAGTCTTAGGGGTAAAGGATCAACTGCCCAAGAAACCATGACAATTCCTCCTGAGGACTTGCCTTCTCCTTTGAATTTTTAACTCTGATCCTTAGCTGCCTTTGCTATGCGTGCTTCATCCCTATCCAGTGTAGACCAAGAAGTCAAGGGCAGGAGGGAACGTGCCGGGAATTCTGGTACTGTCCCTCTTCTCCCAAACTGAGTTGGCTTCTAGTGAGTGCCTCACTAACGAAGACTTCAAGGGGCTCGTGTTTTGTTTCCTTAGGAGGTGATTCCCTCCCAGAGGTTGGGCCAGCTTTGTGTCCAACACCACCACTTTGATCCCTTTGTCCCCTGAGTTTCAGAGGGAAGGGGAATAGCAAGAATTGGAGCAAAAGGCCTAGACCCGAGAGCCCATTAGAGCAGGTGATGGAACAGGAGCTGATGGCTTCTCAGAGTCATCATCTTCTCTCTGACTTCTGACTTCCTAATCAGGTGGCCCTCAACACTGACATTGAGCACCTGGGCCGGTCCATTGTGAGTAGCCCACCAGGCGAGTCGGGTCCAGAGGCTGCCAGAGCAGGTGGCTGTGTTTCAGGAGAAGAATTCTATACGTATGTGCCACCAGGGGCCCAAGGCTGATTGTGTTTATAATACCCTACCTTGAGCTTTTTTCCACAATCTTCCAATTCCCTATCCTTATCCCAGGGAGAACCTCTGCCCCTGCTTTAATTCTCCCTACAAGGCTAGGCCTTACTTTCCTTGCTCCCATCCAGACACACATCATTCTACCCTCCCTGCCCCTATAGATCCCTAGCCCCTCAGACACATATTTCTGCTCCCTTGGTCTCTCTCAAATTCTGCACAGGCTCACAAGGAGAGTTCTGCAGCTGGAGACTATCTTAGAAGGAGTCATGTCCCAGGTTGATGCTGTGGGCTCAAAGCTGAAGATGCTGGAGAAGAAGGGGCAGCTGGCTCCTTCCCCAGGCATGGTGACTAGTCCTTCACCTGGGTCCTCTTGGCTCCCCACAGCTGAACTCTACCATTTTTTCCACTCAGTGGGTAGAGGCAAAACATGTTTTCAGGCTCCTGAGGCAACATGTTCTTCACAATAGTCAGTGTATCAGAGGAGATGGGGGGTGGAGGGGAGGCCTGGGGTTAGTTGCTTTGGCCTGAGGGCTGCCTTGGCCTCTAGGAGATGGTCTAAGGTTGGTGAATCAGATCCAGATTTTCCAGGTAAAAGGAAAGTGGGGCACGAACTCTTCCTTCAAATGACCTGTCCCTTTTTCTTCCAACAGGGGGAACAAGGCATTTGGGAGCACATGCAGCCGGTTCCAGCTGTGACTCCAGCCCCCTGGGAAGTCCAGGGTTGGCAGGACAGTGGTAGGGGAAGGGTCCTAAAGCATCAGGCAGCAGACTCCTCTCTCACTGCCTCCCCAGAAACTCCCTTGGCACATGCCCTCCACTTCTAGGGTAGTAGATCCCACCACTGCTGCTGTTGAGTCCCACCCTATGTCTGGCCTTTTGAGCCAATGTTTCTGTGTGTCGCTGGGCATCATGCTTAGGCTTGTGATTCAGTGTTTCTGTGTGTAGCCATGTAGCTCTGTGAAATAACATTTCCCACTGGGCCTCTCACTCCCTGTGCTCCTAGCTCTGCGGTGATGTTTAAAAGAAAAAAAGGTCAATAAACAGAATAAAGGAAGGCAGGGAGGGTAATGACTTTCTCTAAGCACCTGGATAGTCATGATTTGTGAAAAAAGTAGAAGCCGAGAGAGTAGCATAATCTAGATGTCTTCCTACTTGCCAGTGAAACCTATTCTTTGTGCATCTAGAGACCTGCTACTAGCACCCCTGGGATTCTTGTCTTTCCCACAGAGTTTCCCTGTGAAAGAGAAGGGGAAGCCTTAGAGGAGAGGAGACTTTCTCCTGCCGGATGGTTACAATGTTGCAGAGGAGTTGGAGTGACACCCCCCCAGGGCAAAGTTCATGAAGGCTAAGTGGAGGGGCTGCTCTGGACATTCCACTGAACGCTGGGAACTGGGGGGCCTGAAAACCAGGAGATGAAGATGGAGCCTGAGGAGAATCCAGCAAAGAAATGACCTCAGGATTCAGAGATCTTTGGACTAAAATGTGGTGGGCTCTGAATCTACCCTTCCATACCAAAATGTGGGTTTCCCTGGTGACGATCAATAAAAATCCTTGGGAAAACCAGGACTTTGCACTTGCTTCTGGGACTGTAGGGGGAAAAAGAGAGGCTGGAACTGTGAGCCATCCTTGTACTTGGGCTGGGAAAAGCTCATCCCCGCTAGGAGGTGTAGAGTGAGGGCAGTGACAATGTGAAGGAGCTGGGCTGCCGCAGGAGTCCTGAAGTAAGAATTCCTGGCTGGTAAGAATGGTTTGAAATGGTGAGTGCTATGATTGTACCATTGGAGAGAGTGGAGACAGTGACCTAGGAGATTTGGTCCTCAGGGTGAAGAGAGTAAGGTAGTCCTTACTCTGGGGTGGTGGGTAGCTGTTTTGTGTGTGTGTGTGTGTGTGTGTGTGTGGTGTAGGGTGTGGGAGGTGAGAGAGTGCAGATGGAGGATAACCAGAGATAAGTCAAAAAACTCCTACACCAAGATTTTGGGTGTACAGGTCTGCATCCGGAGTCCTGCTATATATTCCCTCTCCCTTCCCCTGTGACCTTTATCCCTTCCTCATTTTGCACCTTCCGTTGCTTCCCAGTCGCCTTTTCTCCTCCATTCCCTTCAGCCACCTCTGTTCTCCCACCCCATGAAGTACACTCTATACACCTAGGGGACTTGTGAAACAGCTGAGTGCAATTAAGATAACCAGAGTGTATCCTAGCCCTAAAAAAGTTATCATCTAAGCTTTCTCAACAAAGGCTGTATCAATCGAAGAGAAGTAGGTGCCAGCCTACAGTTTAAGAAAAAGGGGCCAATATGTTGGTCTTAATCTAGGACATTGGAAGGGAGAGTATTTCCGCTCAAAGATCAATGCCTGAAGGTTTCCCAAAGCCTGGATGAGACTATCTTCGAAAGCATGGATTCACTCAGCAGTCTTTTGGCCACTTATACCTGCCGGGGTGCGGATTCTCTGGGGAGGGTGTGAGCTGTTTCCGGTGACTGTGGTCAGCAGGCAACCCCGGGCTCAACCCGGACAAGTCCTGGGTCTTACTAGACTAGTGACCCCTCCAGTGAACGGCCGCAGGAAAGAGCGCATTCTCAGTTTCAGACGTTGAGACTCTTGGCGGCGAGTCACGATAGCCAGTCTTAGCTTGGATTTCGGCTTCGTGCTCACACTCTGCTGTTACTCAACAGCTGCGACAGGATTTCGCCTAGAGGCGGAGGATCCCTGGTTGCGAATCCAGGGCAGGGAGGGCGGGGCGCATCCGGTGCGCATGCGCAGGCATCCCAGAACAGGAAGCAGCGCGGTACCAGGCATGGCGGCGGCTGCCGAGGGTGTCCTCTCCACCCAGCGGGAGGAGCCGGTTCGAGGTACGCTGAGTGGGTGGGGATGAAGTGTCCAGTGGGAGGACTGGGGCTCCGGGATGCCGGGGCTCACCTGGCAGGAGTAGGCAGGTCAAAGGGGCGCGCCTGTGTGTGCGCGAGTGTTTGTCCTGTCAGGATGTCTGAGATGGTTTGGCTGCGGGATCGGGTGTGAGCCAGGGGCCGGGGCCAGAAAGCAGAGCTGGCGTGCCAGGTGGGGCAAGGACGAAGTGAGGGACTTGAAATTATGGCACATGGAGAATGGAGCCGACTTGGTGGAATGAAGACAGGTGGAGGGAAGTAGGGAGAGGCTGCTGTGGCTGTATTGGGACCGGGTTATAGGGCAGGACACTTACTCGTTCTTCCTTGTCCCAGACGATGCCGCGGTGGAGACAGCTGAGGAAGCAAAGGAGCCCGCTGAGGCTGACATCACTGAGCTCTGCCGGGACATGTTCTCCAAAATGGCAACTTACCTGACTGGGGAACTGACGGGTGAGGATTCCGGCAGGGCTGTGCACCACTCGCTGGAGCTCCGGGAGACCAGTGAGATGCTTTAGCAGCATCAGTCTGCGGCTCCCTCCCTAACCCCGCGTGCCCTGAAATAAACTTGTCTCTTAGAAGTTTGGGGAGGTCGTGAATGGGAAGGAAAGAGGTCCATTCTTCTCTGGAGAAATTCAGGAACTGCTTTCAGAAACACGTAAGAATACTTAATACAACTCTGCAGGCCTCCGTAGTGTAGACTATTGCGGAGAGAACAACAACAAAAAATTCATCAAGAAGTGCTTCCTTGGGCGAGGTGTGTTTTGAGCAGGGTTGTGAAGCGAATAGTTGGCTGAAAAGGGGGAAACGACTGGTAAGTGAGGTGGTATAAGCAAGCAGTTTGTTTGGCTAAAGCAGATGTATTTACTGAGGCAAAGAGAAATGAAATTGGGGAATGGGCAGTGACCTGCAGATTTAGGGACCTGTTAGGTTGGTCTGAGGGTTTGGTGACCCATCCTTTGGGACACGATTAATTTTATGGTCTAGCGTGTGTTTCCGGGTGAACATATGACCTATGTGTGGAGGAGGGTCTAAAAAGTGAAGCTGATCCAGTGTGGCCTCTTAGAAGCATTTATTACATTGTTTCACTTCCCCAGGAAATTGCTGTGAGCTAAATTGGGAACTAGAATCTATAAGAAAAGGCTTGAGGCAGAATAGGAGTGGTTGTGAGTCTCTAATTTATTTACTTACTTATTTATTTATTTCTGAGCAAGAGAAACCAAGTAACAAAATCTAGATTTTTGGCTTCTCTTTAAAAATTCCAAAGATTTGGCAATACTAGCCCCTGTTCTTGCAAAGCTATAATTGACTATAGTTGAGCAGCTGTCTCTTTTAAATAGACTAGTGCTACACAGTTTGTCCCCAGCACTCGGTTTTCTCCCTTTTATTTAGACCTGGTGTCAGTTGCCATTTATCACTATTCCTATACTCTTGCTTTTTTCGTAGTGGTACATAAATGGTTTTCTGTACCAATATTTCAAAATTGGTCAAGTAAATAATAGATTAAGAGCACTGCATGTGCCAAGAAGTGGGAAAAACCATATTTCTTTGTGGAAGTGAATAATTTTCTTGTATGTCTGATCTGCGTACACCTGGCTTGCTTCACTCATTTACATTATCTTGCTGGCTCATAGGTATTTGAGTGTGTGACCTTTGTTTTAGAGAGATTAATTTTGTTTTTTTTTTTTTTTTGATGAGAAAGATCAGCCCTGAGCTAACATCCATGCCAATCCTCCTCTTTTTACTGGGGAAGATGGGCCCTGGGCTAACATCCATGCCCATCTTCCTCTACTTTGTATGTGGGACGCCTGCCACAGTATGGCTTGATGAGTGGTTCGTAGGTCTGCGCCTGGGATCCGAACCTGCAAACCCCCTGCAAACCCCGGGCCGCTGAAGCGGAGCGCGTGAACTTAACCCCTACACCACTGGGCCAGCCCCTAGAGAGATTAATTTGATAGCAGTGAGAGTATGGATATGGAGGAGAGAGACCAGAGACAAATGAGCAATATTTCAGATGAAAAATAATGATAGTCTGTGACAGACTGATGAGAAGAAGAGTGGGAAGGAGAGCATGGGTGCAAGAACATTACAGATGTGGAATTTATAGGACTTGTTGAAGTGGGTATTAAGTGATAGAGCAGCCTAAGACGTGTCTGAGGTTTTAAGCTTGGGTGGTGCCGTCAGCCAAAATAGGGAAGTTGGAAAGAGGAACCAGGTTTAGTGTCAAAATAATATTTTCAGTTTTGGCTAGGCTGATTTTAGAGATTACCAGAACATGTGACTTGTACATGTGAGTCTAGAGCTCAGAAAGGGATCAGAGCAGGAGAAACAGATTTGGGAGTTACCCGCATGATGGTGTGAGTTGAGGCTGTTCAGGAGGAGATTGCCAAGAGAGAGCTTAGAGGTAGAGAAGTGGGCCTAGACTAAAATCTCAGGGAATGCCTGTATAGGACAATTAATTTTTCTTTAATAACAGTACTTAAAGAACCTAGGCTTCCAAATGATTTATTTATTATAAAATTAATTTTAAGAAGATTGTAATTTCCCTATGATTGTCATTCTTACTTGCACAAATGCTTTTTTGAGTTTGAGAAGAAGCTAGCATAACCCTGGGAATGCCGATGGGAATGTGCCACCTAGGTAAACTTCAGTCATGTGTCACAGCTGAAGAAAAGTTGAAAACTGATAGTTAAGGGGGTTGGATGAGAAAGGATCTGGCATAGAAACCTAAAAAGAGCAGTTTGAGAGAGATTAGAAAATGCTATAGCAGCTAAGGGAAATGAACATTTCATGAAGAGAGGGAGATTAGTAGTGTCAGATACAATGGAGAGGTTCAAGAGGATAGAAATTGAGAAAATGCCAAGGATTTGGTGGTTAAGAGAGCACTGATAATTTTGGAGCATGTAATTTCTCTGGATGGTGAGGGCAGAGGCCAGACTGCCAGGGTTTACATGAGTGAATGGTGAGGAAGAGGAAGTGGTGAGCGTAACCTACTCTTTCAAAAGGTTTAGCAGTGAAGCGCCTTTGCTTTACTGAGCAGAAGATGTAGGTGTAGCAGAATAGATGGAGTACTTTGGGGCTGGAGGAAACCTGAATATATTTCTAGATAGAGAGGAGGGTGCCAGGATGGAGAAAGTTTGGAAATTCAAGAGAAAGAAGATGATTGAAGAGAGGCTCTGAAGAGGTGGAAGGGTTTGGGATCCAGAGCACGGTAGGAGGAGTTGTCTTGGCAAGAGTAGGAACACTTCTGCCTCTTGGGAAGATATTAAGGTACAGAGGAGTTTAGAAGTGAGGCAGAAAGGTTGAGGCAGCTTATGTAAGTGGACTTGGCTTTCAGGAAAATTGGAGTAGAGGCCATTTGCTTTGAGTAGGGCTAGGGAAGGGAATAGAGTATATGAGAAGGTTGCAAATGGTTTGGAAAAGTCAGTGCATAAAATGTAATATAGAATCACACAGTAATAAATGAGATACTAAGAAGTGATGAGGTCCTAGTTGATTTTATATATATATATATTTTGATATATATATTTTGATATATATATATTTTGATATATATATTTTGATATATATATTGATATATATATATTTTGATATATATATATTTTGATATATATATATATATTTTTTGATATATATATATATATTTATGATGCCATCTCCCAAATTACATGTTTTCATGCTGTAGAGGTACCAAGACTATTTCACCTTCCTTTTCTTGGGACATGAGGTTATCATTTCCCTTTCCGACTAAGCTCCTGGTGCTTCTAGATCTTATTTGGTTTAAATAGTTTGCTAATTGTTGCCTGAGTTTCTACTTAGACATTCAGAGTCCACAGGCTGAATATAAATGTCGTAGATCAAAAGTGGCCCGCTCCTTTAACATTCCCTAGGCCCTGCCTTGAACTGCCATTTGGCCTGTAATTCCACATTCCACTGATCTAATACAAGTCTTAAAGGCATCACATCTTCTGTTTGTTTTAAAGCCACCAGTGAAGACTATAAGCTCCTGGAAAATATGAATAAACTAACCAGCCTGAAGTATCTTGAAATGAAAGATATTGCTATAAACATTAGTAGAAACTTAAAGGACTTAAACCAGAAGTGTAAGTAATAATTTTTATAATTAAACATGTTTTATTTAATGTTCTTTTGTGCTTGGGGCCGTGGAGAAGGGAAGGGAACATGGCCCCTGTCCTCAATGAGCTCATTTTCTGAAAGTGAATTACAAAGTTAAAGTGACTTTCTTTCATTCTGAGGATTAGCATGCTTTGGTGATATGGTTATTTCTGCTTCTGAATCTTGATTTGATCAGAATCAAATTCCTGGAAAGAGATGGGGCTGAGGAAGGGTGGCCAGATTCTGGTGAATTGATTTAACAGTGAAATCCGTAAAGGACCACTCTATAAACAGGAAACTAGAACATCTATAAATGGAAAATGCTAATTTAGACTGGTAGAATATATGTTGCATCGACTTATATTTGTGTTCCCTGTCTTGAGGGCCCTCTTTCTTGGTCTGGGAGTACCCAAGAAACTGAATCAGTAATGGAAAGGTTGCTTGAGGAGCAAGGAATTTAAAAGAGAGGAAAATTAGTAGATGAGAGAGACTTAACTTTGTCTAGGTCATAGTGAAGCCTGATCAGCCAGCTGCTGTCTTCTAAAGCATCTGCCCTGTTGGTGATCAGAATCACGTCACCCTACCTAGTCTGTCTTAGGCAGAGCTGGAGAGACGCTAGCATTCTTCCTTTTCCACTCTTATATATACTCCTTGTTGATGCCATATAAACCTGTGGTCTGTCTTTGTTTTTAAAGATGCTGGACTGCAGCCTTATCTGGATCAGATCAATGTAATTGAGGAGCAGGTAGCAGCTCTAGAGCAGGCAGCCTACAAGCTGGATGCATATTCAAAAAAACTGGGTAAGCATTTTTATTGCTGTTTTGATTTGATAAGAGTACCTCCCTGCCAATATAACCTTATCTAATATGATAGTTCATATTTATGGTGTGTGTGCAATGATCTATTTTAATCTTCACAAAAACCTCTTGAGAGTAATTTTTTATTAGTAGTAGTAATAAAAATAACATTTCGTGAGTACTTAAAGATATATCAGGCACTGTTCTTAGTGTTTTGCATGTATTGTGTTTTTTATCCTCCCAATAATCTATGAGGTAAGTACACGATTTTTATCCTCATTCTATAGAAGAGGAAACTGGATGAACGGGTTAAGTAACTTACTTAAGGACACAAAGCTAGTATGTGGAAGAGTTATATTCCAAACCAGGTCTGATTGATTACAAAGCCCAAGCTCATAATTGTGGTTCAATAGGCTGAAGCATCTTTAATAACGTAGATATATGTCTTGAAAAACAATAGTCAATCACGGGTTTTCTTGAAGGGTTACTTTTCCTTTAAGGAGGAAACTGGTACTTTTAGTGTTAATTCCTTGCTAACTGGCTCTGGCTTTTATATCCATGGTTAAAAATAATGAAGCTGTTTTTATCCTAAATATAATTTACAGATTACTTTATTTTCATCACTGACAGTTGTTGACTACTTCATGAGAGTGGTTTGTAGCACACTGAGATTTGACATGGGTGGTGATTAACAGTTTCATCGTCCACAGATAAATTTACTAAATGGTGACTGTGAACCTTATGTAGAAGGCATTGTACTAGGCGCCTTCAAAGTTTTAAAGAAAAAGGGAATGTGTAACATTAAGAGGCTTATCTGATGGTTTTTTAAATTTCTGTATCTTTCAAAGTTGCTTTCCTAGAGTGAGGGGTAGGGATAAGAAAATAAAAGGTGAAACATACATTTACACTTACTGAGAGTTCCAGTATGGCTGGGTGCCTGGGACAGTGCCTGGACAGGCAATTTCCTGTGCTTAGTAAGGCTCTTGTTGGCTCAAGTGCCCATAGATCTACTTAATCCTGGTGGACCCAGTGAGCAGGTGCTGATGACAGGGTTAGAATTTAGTGAACTTGTGTTGGGTTCTTAATTCTGTGTTTGTTTGTGTTTGATTCCAATCTTAAGTTGTGCACGTCGATGATATCTGGACAGATATCCAAATATCTGTTCTTAGCTAATATGATAGTTAACATTTATGGTGTGCATACAGTTTGGGCACAATTTGGACAGCTGATGAGATTGAAGCTAATAGAATTTTTTGTTGTTGTTTTTGAGGAAGATTGGCCCCTGAGCTAACATCCATTGCCCGTCTTCCTCTCTTTGCTGAGGAAGATTAGCCCTGAGCTAACAGCTGTGCCCATCTTCCTCTATTTTATGTGTGGCACGCTGCCACAGCGTGGCTTGATGAGCGGTGTGTAGGTCCACGCCCAGGATCCAAACCTGTGAACCCTGGGCCGCTGAAGCGGAGTGTGTGAACTTAATCACTGCGCCAGTGGGCTGGCCGTGCTAATAGATTTTTTAAAAAATATAATACAGACATTTTTGAATTTGCCTGGAAATGCTGACTAAAAAGTATCTTTGTAAGAGCTAGTTTTAAAAAATATAACTTCCTCTCTCTCTCCCCCCCTGCAGAAGCCAAGTATAAGAAGCTGGAGAAGCGATGAAAAATTGATTCCTGTGGGACCAAGTTTTTTTTAATGTGGAAGAATGTTTTATAAGACCTGAATCCTGAGGTTGATGAATTGTCAAAACTCCTCAAAAGGAAACTATGCTCGTCGTCCCAGAAACATCACCACATTGGAGTAAACTGGAGGACTATGGCTACTCCTGAACTTTTTTGAGGCAGTATCCGTTGGAAACTCACACTTATAGCTCCTTACATTTTACTTGAATGCTTCATCATCCATTCAGGACAGAGAGTCTCTCAAAGTTTGGGATAAACCTGGGCTTGCCAATAGAATCAAATGAGAGGACCTATTTTCTCTGGTCATAGTTGATCACTACGTTATTTTCTTAAATGGCTGGATTTTGAGTTACTCTGTACATGGTTGTTTTTTTCTATTAATGACACTAACGTATTGCTAACAAGATTCTAAATTAAAAAAGGAAAACAAAACAGACTTGTTCTTTACAGTTTATCACCTTGTGAATGTCAGTAATTTACTTTTCCATAACATTGCAAATTACAAAAAATCTTAATTTCAGGCGGAATCTTCTAGACTGAGCAAAAACAGAGAAAGAAGTGTGATAGCTTGGTGTATCTGATGGGCCCCTCCTGTCTCTTCTCTGTGTGAGTCAGATGTCTGGGGATGGATGACATTTTGATATGTACTCCCTTTTGGAAATGTGGTCAAGATAAAGACAGGATATGTATGTGTGTGTATGTGTTAGGTGGGGAAGTGAGGCTGCCACTCATAAGCATTTTATAAAATATCTTCCTACTTGTGCCTGCAGAGTCAGGGTGGCTCCTGGGGAACTGATCATCTTCCTTTCAGACTAAAGATATTAGTGGATGGAGGATACTAACTGATCAGTCTAGTTTGGAAGACAGGCAACCTTATCCAGAGTTGGGTGTTAACAGCTAGGAAGGTGCCTGAGGTCCCCAATTCCATCTCCAAAAGAGTTCTTAACTCTGTTTTTGTCATTTCCCACTGTCTCTGTTCCACACCACCATTGTTTATCCTCTGCTCCTTTGGACTATTGCTGTGGTCTCTTCTCATCTTACCCATCCCTCCAACTTAACCTCCAAACCGCTGCCAGAGCAATCTTTCTAAAATGTGAGCTGGCCACATTACTCCTCCTACTTAGAATCCTTTAGTGCCTTCTCATGGCCTCTTTGAAAAAGCCAGACTCTTTTTTTTTACTTAGAAACCAAAATTTTAATGAAATATTTCAATTCACTTTTGTGTTTCTAAGGATGAAGTACTCTAATATAATTCCCTTTGGTTCTTTATTAAACTTTCTGTAACTGTTTTTCATACAAGATTTGAAATATTTGGCCAGATATACATCCTGACACAGAAACTAGCATTTTGAAATTGATATATTTATATATATATAGTGGACAACCTCCCCAATTACATTTGGATATAGGTTTCTCCCAAGATAGAGCTGAAAATACCATAGCTTTTTCTGAGTATATGTGTGGGGAGGGGGTGTAGTTCTTATTTTATTTTTTTCAAGCTTTATTGAAATATAATTGACATATAACATTGTATAAGTTTAAGGTATATAATGTGATGATTTGATATATATTGTGAAATTACCACAATAAGGTTGGTTAACACATCCATCAACTCACATAGTTATCTTTTGTGTGTGTGTGGTAAGAACATTTAAGATCTATTCTCCTAGCAACTTTCACATATACAATACAGTATTGTTAACTATAGTCACCACACCGTACGTTAGATCCCCAGAGCTTATTCATCTTATGACTTGAAGTTTGTATACTTTGACCTGCATCACCCCATTTTCGCCTGGCAACCACCAATCCGCTCTCTGTTTCTATGAGTTCAGCTTTTTCAGATTCCACATATAAGTGGGATCATATAGTATTTGTCTTTCTCTGTCTGATTTATTCTACTTAGCATAATGCCCGTAAGGTTCATCCATGTTGTTGTAGATGGTAAGATTTCTGTATTTTTTATGGCTGAATGATATTCCATTGTATATATAGGCCACCTTTTCTTTATCCATTCATCCATCTGTGGACACTTAGGTTGTTTCCGTGTGTTGGCTACTGTGAATAATGCTGAAATGAACATGGGGGTGCAGATATCTCTTTGAGATAGTGATTTCATTTCCTTTGGGTATACACCCAGAGTGGGATTTCTGGATCATATTGTTATTCTTTTTTTATTTTAATTTTTTTTCTTTTTTTTGTGAGGAAGATCAGCCTTGAGCTAACATCCAATGCCAATCCTCCTCTTTTTGCCAAGGAAGATTGGCCCTGGGCTAACATGCATGCCCATCTTCCTCTACTTTATATGGGACGCTGCCACAGCATGGCTTGACAAGTGGTGCGTCAGCACGCGCCCAGGATCCGAACCTGCGAACCCTCGGGCCACAGAAGCAGAGTGCACGCACTTAACCGCTATGCCACCGGGCTGGCCCCCTCATATTGTTATTCTATTTTTAACTTTTTGAGGAATCTCCATACTGTTTTCCATAGTGGCTGTACCAACTTACATTCCCACCAACGAACATTCCCAGTGCACGAACGAAGGTTCCCTTTTCTCCTGGCCAGCACTTGTTATCTCTTGTCTTTTTGATAACAGCCATTCTAACAGGTGTGAGGTGATAACTCATTGTGGTTTTGATTTTCATTTCCCTGATGATTAGTGATGTTGAGCACCTTTTCAGGTACTTATTGGCCAATTGTATGTCTTTAGAAAAATATCTGTTCAGGTCCTTTGCCCATTTTTAAATTGGATTGTTTGCTTTTTTGCTATTGAGTTGTTTGAGTTTCTTATATATTTTGGATATTAACCCTTTATCAGATAGATGGTTTGCAACTATTTTCTTCCATTCTGTAGGTTGCCTTTCCATTTTGCTGATTGTTTCTTTTTTTTTTTTTTTTGTGAGGAGATCAGCCCTGTGCTGACATCTGCCAATCCTCATTTTTTGCTGAGGAAGACTGGCCCTGGGCTAACATCCGTGTCCATCTTCCTCCACTTTATATGGGACACCACCACAGCATGGCTTGCCAAGCAGTGCGTCCGTGCACGCTCGGGATCCAAACTGGCAAACCCCGGGCTGCCGCAGTGGAGCGCGCGCACTTAACCGCTTGCGTCACTGGGCTGGCCGCTTGTTGATTGTTTCTTTTGCTGTACAGCTTTATAGTTTGATGTAGTCCCATTTGATGTTTTTGCTTTTGTTGCTTGTACTTTTGGTGTCATATCCAAAAAATCATTGCCAAGACCAACGTCAAGGAGCATTTTCCCTGTTTTCTTCTAGGAGTTTTACAGTTTCAGGTATTACATTTAAGTCTTTAATCCATTTTGAGTTAATTTTCATGAGTGGTATAAGATAGGGATCCAATTTCATTCTTTTGCATGTGACTATCCAGTTTTCCCAATACCATTTATTGAAAAGACTATCCTTTCTCCATTGAGTATTCTTGGCTTCCTTGTCAAATATTAGCTGACTGTATATCATGGGTTTATTTCTGGGCTCTAGATTCTGTTCCATTGGTCTATGTATCTGTTTTTATGTCAGTACCACACTGTTTTGATTACTATCACTTTGTAATATAGTTTAAAATCAGGAAGTGTGATACCTCCAGCTTTGTTTTTCTTTCTCAAGATTGCTTTGTCTATTCAGGGTCTTTTGTGGTTCCATATGAATTTTAGGATTGTTTTTCTATTTCTGTGAAAAATGCCATTGGAATTTTGATAGAGATTGCATTGAATCTATAGATGGCTTTGGGTAGTATGGACATTTTAACAATACTAATTCTTCTGGTCCTTGAACATGGGATGTCTTTCCATTTGTGTCTTCTACAATTTCTTTCATCAATAGCTTATAGTTTTCGGTGTACAGATCTTTCACCTTTTTGGTTAAGTTTATTCCTAAGTATTTTATTGTTTTTGATGCTATTGTAAACAGGATTGTTTTCATTATTTCTTTTTCAGATAGTTCGTTGTTAGTGTATAGAAACACAACTGATTTTTATATGTTGATTTTTGTATCCAGCAACTTTACTGAATACATATATTAGTTCTAACTGTTTCTTGGTAGAGTCTTTAGGATTTTCTATATAAAAGAACATGTCATCTGCAAACAGAGACAATTTTACCTCTTCCTTTACAATTTGGATGCCTTTCATTATTTTTTTTCTTACCTAATTGCTCTGGCTAGGACTTCCAGTACTATGTTGAATATACATTGTGAGAATGGGCACACTTGTCTTGTTCCTGATCTTAGAGGAAAAGCTTTCAACCTTTCACTGTTGAGTATGATGTTAGTTGTGGGCTTGTCATATATGGCCTTTATTATGTTGAGGTACATTCCTTCTATATACAATTTGTTGAGAGTTCTTTTGTCGTGAAAGGATGTTGAATTTTGTCAAATGCTTTTTCTGCATTTATTGAGATGATCATACAATTTTTATCTTTCATTCTATTAATGTGGTGTATTACATTTATTGATTTGCATATGTTGAAGCATCCTTGCATCCTAAGGATAAATCTCACATGATCATGGTGTATGATCCTTTTAATGTGCTGTTGAATTCAGTTTGCTAGTATTTTGTTGAGAATTTTTACATCTATATTCATCAGAGATATTGGCCTGTAGTTTTCTTTTTTTGTAGTATCCTTATCTGGCTTTGGTATCATGGTATTGCTGGCCTCATAAAGTGAGTTTGGAAGTGTTCCCTCCTCCTTAATTTTTTGGAAGAGTTTGAGGAAAATTGGAATTAATTCTTCTGTAAATGTTTGGTAGAATAAACCAGTAAAACCATCTGGTCCCAGGCTTTTCTACGTTGGAGGTTTTTGATTACTGATTCAAACTCCTTACTTATTATTGGTCTGTTCAGATTTTCTATTTCTTCATGACTCAGTCTTGGTAGATTGTATGTTTCTAAGAATTTATCAGTTTCTTCTAGGTTGTCCAATTTGTTGGCATATAATTGTTCATAGTACTCTCTTATGATCCTTTGTATTTCTGTGGTATCAGGCATAATGACTCTTCTTTCATTTATAATTTTATTTATGAGAGCTCTCTCTTTTTTTCTTGGTTAGTCTAGCTAATAAAGTTTTGTTAATTTTGTTTTTCTTTTCCAAAAACCAACTCTTAGTTTCATTGATCTTTTCTATTGTTTTCTCATTCTCTATTTCATTTATTTCTGTGCTAATCTTATTATTTCTTGCCTTCTGCTAACTTTGGGCCTAGTTTTTTTTTTTTAGTTCTTTTAGTGTAATGTTAGGTTGTTTATTTGAGATCTTTCTTTTTTCTTAGTATAGGCATTTATAGCTATAAACTTTCCTCTTAGAACTGCTTTTGCTGCATCCCATAAGTTTTGGTATGTTGTGTTTCCATTTTCATTTGTCTCAATAATTTTTGATTTTCCTTTTCATTTCTTCTTTGGTCCATTGGTTGCTCAGGAGTGCGTGGTTTAGTTTCCATATATTTGTGAATTTTCTAATTTTCCTCCTGTTATTGAATTCCAGTTTCATACCATTGTGTTGCAAAGATACTTGATATAATTTCTATCTTCTTGAATTTGTTGAGACTTGTTTTGTGGCCTAACCTATGATCTGTTCTGGAGAATGTTCCATGTGCACTTGAGAAGAAAGTGTATTCTAAAACCAGACTTCGTAGCATGCATCTTCACCCCTATTTTTTTTCCTTTTTTCAATTTCATTTCCTGTTACTCTGACACTTAAACTGTGTTCAGCTATCTTGAGCTAACTTAAATTCCCATGGATAGGTTTTCTTTTCATAAACTTTATATTTTTGAATAGATTTAGATTTGCAAGAAAGTTGTAAAAACAATACAGAATTCCACTGATGAGTTTTCATATCTTACTGTTGTTTCTTCTTCCTGAAATTATTACCTGCATGTTTGGCAAAACTCTACTCTCCTTCAAGATTTAGTCTTGATCTTCACTCCTGGGCTGTGCCGTATTAATCAAAAAGTAGAAAACACCTGTTCTTAGTGTGCCAGCAAAGCAGGGGCATCATTGAGGCAAAGAACTTAATATTTCCCCAAAAAGCATTGCAGAAGTTGTGAAAAAACCCAGAACTTTGTGGTTCTTCCTTAAAATTATTTATATTTTAGTTAATTTTTAATTACTTGACTGCCCTTAGTGAGTCCTCCCTCCCCCTCAGTTGTCAGGAACTCTCTCCTTTGTTTTCATTTCGTTATACACTGTTGTCTCCTACCAATTGGCCTGAACTCTCCAAAAAAGTCAATATCATGAAAAACAAAACCAAAAATGAGGTGGACTATTGTAGATCAAAACAAACTAGAGAGTGACCAGAATGCCAGGGTGAAACTTGATTGGATCCTGAATGAAAACAAACCCCAAGTATAAGATAAATTTTGGGGGACAAAAGGAGAACTTTAAATATGGATGTGTATTAGGTGATATTACTGAGTTAATGTTAATTTTCTTAGGTTTGTTAGTTGTACTTTGCTTATATAGGGGGATGTCCTTAGTCTTAGGAAATGCATGCTGAGGTATTCCTGAAGTCTGCGATTTACTTTTAAATGATTCAGTGAGAATAAAAGCGCTTGTGCACCTTGAAGGAGAGAGAAGGAGCTTACGGGTAAATCTGGCAGCATGTTGGAACTCATTGAATCAGGTGATAGCAACTATTCTTTTAATTTTTTGATAGGTTCAAAACTTAGAAAAAGCATGTGTGGAGGAGTCTGCCTTGCCCACTAGAGTGATATAGTTAGGTTAGGGCCCAACATTGTACCGGGAACTTTCTAGCAGCTCTTCTATTGCTCCGAAATAAAAAATCATAATTGGAATCCTTTTGTTATTTCCCCCTCTTCCCTCCACTGCTCTCCTTCCTTGATTCCTCCTTGAGGCGAAGCAACCTGAGAGAGGCTTCTGTCCCTCGGCGCTCTCCGTAGATAACTGAACTCTTATTGGCTGGCGTGCGCTGACGTCTTATTGTAGCGCGGCCGCAGTTTACCTAGGAGCGCGGGTCGGGAATCCTAGTATTTGGTGGTCGTCACAACCCAGGCTGTTGAGAGTGATGGCGCAGAAACCGCTGCGCCTGTGAGTGAGCCTTGAATGGGAAGTCTCTCTGTCTCTCTCTCTCTCTGCGCGCGTGCACTGGCGGGGGTCTTTCTCCTGACTAGAATGGAAGAGGAAAAGGCGGGGGTCGGAGCTGGGGCAGCGGCTGGTGAACTCGGATCACGTCTTTGCCTAGCGGGAGCCGGCCGCTTTTCCCAGCTGTTTTCGCTTCTGAGCGCGGAGTCTCTTGGCGACACTTGCTGGGAGAGGCGGAAGCTCACAGCGTCAGGCCTCTTCCATCTTAGGCTGGCCGGGCCTCTGACGCGTAATTTCCCCTTCATTTCTCCCCGCCCCCCATTTATTTACTAACGAACATTTCCAGGTATGGGGCCCATTGATTCGCCCTGGTCACTGGTGGACAGGATGGATAGATAGGGCTCCTGCGCTGGCTCACGTTCTTGGGAGGAGGGGGCGCTGGGGTGGTGAATAGAGGACTTCCATTCATTTCGTTCACCAGATATTTATTGAACAGTTGCGGTGTGTTATGCACTGTGCAAGGCGTTGCACAGATGGAGTTGCTGCCTTAATGGAGCTTATAGTCTAGAGGAACAGATATTAATCAAAGAATCCCAATAAATGTAAAATCATAGTAGTGATGAATGTCAGTAAGAAAAGGTTTGTGGTTCTGGGACGGTGTACAATAGGGGTGTTTGGCTTAATGTGAGGAATCAGCGAAGTGAGGATTGAGCCTTGATTAATGTTTTTGTTTTTATTCTAAAAAAGTCACTGAAATGTTTAAGAAAGGCTTGGCATGATCAAATTTTCATTTTGGAAGGTGATTTGGGCTACAATGTGGAGAACAAATTAGAGCCAAAGTAGAGGACAGCTGGGATTAGGTAAAGTGACAGCAGAAGAAAAGAGCAGGGATTCAAGGTTTATTAAGGAGATGACATCAATAGGGGCTTGGAGGTGATTTGATTGTGAGTGAGAAGGAATCCGGCACTGTCAGGGTCCTAGATTTGTATCTTTCTTCAGTGAAATAGGAAACACTTGAAAAGGGCCTAGATGAGGAGATGATGAATTTTGAGGTGCCCTATGAAGTACAAACTGGACGATGGCACGCCCAGAAACAATTAAAATTCCATGTGATAGCTGCTATGATTGAGGAAGAGCAGGATCCTGTGGGAGCACCAGGGATTGGTGACTGATAGGACTCGAGAGCTTTCTAGAAGAGGTAGTGCTCAGAAGATAAATAAAAATGCTTGATAGTTTATTACAGCGCTTGCTCTGAAATGCTATATGGGTTCCTGAAGTTTTGAAAAGAGAGTGACTTTCAGAGCCAGTGAGGAAAGCTTTAGAGATGTGCTAGGCCTTTAAGGATGGGAAAAATTTAGACTCAGGATGGGTAGGGTGGGATTGTTAGAAGTAACTACCCAGGGAATGGCAGAGGCAGAGAGTGATCCTACTGACAGTAGGGAAGGTTTCTCTTAGGGAAACTTGGAGAAAGCACTGGGAAGAGAGATCAGGGACTTGTGGAAGGCTTGGTTCTGCCACTAGTGGGGTTCTCTTAATGTTTTTGAGGAAAGAACATTAAACTGTTGGCTTTATGTAGGATGGATAGTAAGAAGAGTAGGCATTAGAGGAAGTGTAAGCATATTCTCTACTTTGTATCCAACACCAGATTCCTTATATTTGTCTCTGATTCTGTCTCCCTGGGACCCTCAATTGCTCAGCCTTGCAGCTATCCTTCATTCCTCCTTCTCCCTCATTTCCCCTTCTACTTCCCCACTCCAATTTGTGTTCAAGTGTTCAGAATTCTAAATTTCTCATCTGTTTCTTTCCTCACCATCTTCATTTGACATTGCCCTTCTTTGCTGATATTTTTGCTTATAGTCACTTATTCATCCAGACCGTCTTTCACTCTGTTACTAAAATGATCTTTCTAAAACAGATATGATCATGTCACTACCCCGCTTAAGAACGTTCAGTGGTATGGACAATAACAGCACTCCAGAGAGACATACTGACAAAAATATAAGAAGGAAAGTAATATTTCCAGATAGGTTAAAAGACATTCAGAAAATGATGTGAAAAGTGGATATAAGTCAAAATTATAAAAATTCAGCAGTGAGAGGCTAGAACAAATTACTTCACAATTTGAGGCCGGTCTGCCTTACGAACCTCAGCTCTTGCCACTTTCCATCTCTCTGCCCCATAACACTTTATACGTACCTCTTATTTAGTCCTTTTCATATGAATTTATAACTAACAGGTTGATTGTTCTTTCCCTGATTGTAAACTCTTCAAGGCTTAAACTGAGTCTTTGTCTTCTTCGTGCTCCTAACATGTTCTTAGCACAGGACTCAGCATGTTGCACCTAGCATATTGTAGGTGTCCAGTACATGTTTGTTGAATGGATGATTGAAGCCCTATACTAAGAGAATGACAGTAGAAGTAAAAAGGATGGAATGGATGGATAAGATGTTTGGATTGATGGGACTTGGTGACTGGATGGGGGAGTTTTGACTCTTGGTGACCAAGTTGGTGATAGACCCATCCACAAAACTTGGAAAGTGAGGAAAAGAAGTTGGTTCAATTTTGGAGGAAATGGTAAGTTGAATTTTAGATATGGTGAGTTGACGGTGTTGGTAAGACCTTCAGGTGGAGATGCCTGGTGGTCAGCCATAGTTCACATGCACTGAACCTCTCAGGTAACCTCAGAAAGACTGGCCACACAGCTGCCTCATTCAGGAAGACTAGTATGTACCAAACCCGGCAGGCCGGTTCATGTTTCCTAAATTGCGTTAATGCTTATTTCTTGCCTACAGCTTGGCGTGTGGAGATGTTGAAGGAAAGTTTGATGTTTTATTCAATCGAGTTCGAGCAATTCAGAAGAAAAGTGGAAACTTTGATGTAAGATGTTTGTTTTTACTAAATTTAATTTTACTGTTATAGTCAAAAATACTGAAATAAAGTTTGGGCTCCTTTATTCATTTCTTGATTGAACACATACTCTCCTTTTTTGTTAGATTGAGTTCCTTTTGTGAGCCTAGGAACTTAGGAGCTGTGGAGTGGTGAGGGAAGGGAGACGTGTTTACCTTTTTATAGTTGTTGAATTTGAATTTTCTTTATTGCTGTACACAAAACTGAAAACAGACTAGCAAAACCTCTGTAAGTGATTCTGACCACAGGATTTGGGAACTGCAGATCTGTTTCATGGGTGTATGGTATTGATTAAGTCAGATAACATATGTGCAAATGCTTCAACTAAAGAGCCCTATATAAATGTTATGTGTGGGGGCCGGCTCCGTGGCTTAGCAGTTAAGTGCATGCGCTCTGCTACTGGTGGTCTGGGTTCGGATCCCGGGCGCGCACTGACGCACCGCTTGTCCGACCGTGCTGAGGCGGCGTCCCACATACAGCAACTAGAAGGATGTGCAACTATGACATACAACTATCTACTGGGGCTTTGGGGAGAAAAAGGGGAAAAAAAAAGGAGGAAGGTTGGCAATAGATGTTAGCTCAGGGCTGGTCTTCCTCAGCAAAAAGAGGAGGATTGGCATGGATGTTAGCTCAGGGCTGATCTCCCTCACAAAAAAAAAACAAGTTATGTGTGGTTGCCACCTAGACTGTGAACTCCTAGAGTACAGAAGGGTATTCTAGGTATGGGGATAATTTGTTCACTGGGTGAAAGGTTGAGTAAAGACAACAGGCAGGAAATGTGTCTTTTATGCGCTGTATCTCTCAGGGTATCTAATATTTAAAGTTTTGTATTTCACAGAAGTGCTCTCCAAGGTCCATTTCTCCATCTTTCCCTGACCTCCTCTTCCCTATCCCCAACTTGAGTTTGACAGCCAGTGAGCCAAAATTTAGTAATTATAGAATCAGAGTAACCACTACAATTGCTGTTAAAGAATTATGTATTGAAATTCTGCAAATTGATTAAGGAAAAAACCTGGTTTGAGACGGTTAAGTAGGATAATTAACTGAATAATGTTACTATCAATTATGTACTGTTTGATATAAAAACAAAACTCATATCTGTTTAAAAAACTCATTTTAGCTGCTGTTGTGTGTAGGAAATTTCTTTGGCTCCACTCCAGATGCTGAATGGGAGGAGTATAAAACTGGCATCAAGAAAGGTACAGATTATTTTTATTTAACAAATAATGACTTCTAACAAAGTTTCAAGGCTACACAGAGTTTGCTGGGTTGTTTTTTACCCATGTTAATTACTTAAGAATTTCTCTTTTGGCTCTATATTAAGCTGGAAAGAATGCCTATGCATCTAAATGTTCACATTCTGAATTTGGTTGGATTTAGTTCCAGAAAAATAATTCTCTTCTAAGTAGGCAGGAATTGAATAAATGCAACCATATGTGTTGTTTCCTTTTTCCAGTTTCGGTGTTTTTTAATAAGCTCTTTAGGGTCTGTGTTTTCCTAATTATACATTGAACATCCTCTTTAAGATGTCACTTCTTCAGCCTAGTGATACCATTTAATAGTTAGGCCACAAGGTTGGGTGTGGTATATCCTAAGTGGTGAGCATGTCCACATATAGAATTGCAGACTCTTTACTTTTGCTGTGAGTATTTTTCTTATGGGGAAGCATTTTTCAAGTTCCAAAGCAGATCTGGTAACTATACAGTGTCATGTCTGTTTCTCTCACTAGTTCCTATTCAGACATATGTCCTGGGTGCCAATAACCAGGAAACAGTAGAGTATTTCCAAGATGCTGATGGGTGTGAATTAGCGGAAAACATTACTTATCTGGGTAAGTTGATATTTTTTGTGTTTGTAATGCTCATAATAAAGTGTCCCCAGGAATTAGTCTCCCAGGATGTTTGTGGCTGGATTCTTCTGCCATTACTGCCTGAGAGAATGGGGGTCAGGGGGTTCTTTTCTAAAATCTATGTCTATACCCTTAAGATGATGGTATTTTTTCCTTTGTTGTGTCTCCCACCTCCTCCCCAATCTACTTGTATTTCCACAACCCAGTATATACTCTTTTAGCCAACTAGAGGAGTAAATTACTTGACTACAGTGTATGGAATACTTAAAGTATAAATTATGTTAAAGAAAAAATTCCATGTATGTGGTTTCACCATATAGCATTGCTGGATGTATACAGCTTACTTATTAGTTAGACTCCTAACTAGCTATAGCTCTAGGTTTCGCTAAGGTTTTGGAAACTTGTTTTTAGTACTGATCCTTGAATTTTTCATTCCCTTTGTCCTTTTTCTGGTTCCAGGTCCACTTGTCAATTCTGGGTTAAAGTTGTTTCCTCCACAATGCCCTGAATCTCTTTTAGTGGTTCTTTCACTGTCTGGCCGTTTTAAAAGCCAGTATCAAATCTTGCTTTTGTTGCCCCTGCACCCCCTGCTGTCAGTCTGCTGCTTCTTGGATATTCAACTCATTTTTTTCTAAAATGGCTCTTCTGCTCTCACATTTCCTCTCCTGTTCTTTCATTTGTCTAGAAAGCTTCTGCATTTCCTTTGCTGTAAATGCCCTCCCTACCTTAGTCCATCTTGGCCTTTATTCTCTACATCTGGCTGTGGTCCTCATGTAAGCAATCTCATCTCATCTTGCTTCAGTCATGTGGGGCTCCTTTAGGCAAAAAACTGAGGGATGGATTTTTGTTTTTTGTTTTTAACCACAGTTGCGAGATATAGATTTTGAAATCCTCTTCTTATAGATCTTAACATGGGCCTGACTTGTGGCAGTTCTCATTGTAGTTATTAGACTTGGATTAAGACCACTGCTGTAGATATTTGACAGCCATTTTACCATATGAATTTAGTGCCAGGAGTGGAAAGAGCAGCCAAGGTATTGGGGTTATTTCTATGAAAGAGATTTTTTGAGATCCAGTAGGAGGAGCAAACAAGGAACTTGATAGTGAACATGTGATAGTGAGCTTGAAGTGCTGGCAGAAAATCCTACATATAGATGGAAGTGATAGTTCTTTCTAGAGTATATAACTATCTAGAGTATATAAAGGAGGTCAGTGTTGAAGAGTGTGGGTTTTGGGGAGTTGGTTCCATAAAGATGAAAAATAAAGCTGAGGATCAAATTGTTAAGGAAGAAGTATGAGAAGGGAAGCAGACAGATGATAGTACCCTGGGGTGGGGGCGTATATCTTCATCTAGAGGGTTGGCAGAGAGAGGTGAAAGTGATTAGAGGAGTGTTTGGAGATGTAAAGATATTGTCAAATTCATAGAACCTAAGTGAAGAGAGCATAGTTTCAGGAGAAGAGACCCTGGGCAATTATCGGGTGATTAGTGACCTTTAAGAGAATAGTGGAGAGGGAAACTAGGTTGCAGTGGGTTAAGGAACTAATTAAGAGTGAAAACACAGCATGGACTGCTCTTTTGAGAAGTTCAAAACTGAAGAGGATGTTTCTGTATTAGTTAGTATGTGTGTGACTCTGCTGCTCTTCACATATTCTCTTGGCTTGTTATTTGTCTAGAAAGCTTCTACATTTCCTTTGCAGTAAATGTTCCTTTATCAGTTTTTTATTAGTATATGCATTCCTCTTTATTAGTATGTATATTCCTTTATTACTTTATTTTTCTTTGTTAGTATGTGTTCCTTTATTAGTTAATATGTGTGTTTGTTTATTAGTTACTATGTGTGTTTATTTATTAATTAGTATGTGGAAAGAGTCATTTGAGAAGAAGAGACTCAGTAGATGAAAAGGAGGTGAAAAAATTTTTTTTTTCTTTTCGCTTTTTCTCCCCAAAGCCCCAGGAGATAGTTGTATGTCATAGTTACACATCCTTCTAGTTGTGTATGTGGGACGCCACCTCAGCATGGCCTGACAAGCGGTGCGTCGGTGCACGCCAGGGATCCAAATCCGGGCCGCCAGTAGCGGAGTGCACACACTTAACCGCTAAGCCACGGGGCCGGCCCCAAGGAGGTGAAAATTGATGGAGCAAGGTGTTGGAGACAACCAGAAGGAAAAGAATAAAGGGCACAAGCCAGGAATAAATTGAGAAGAAGGTGGAGTCTCTTAATTTTTCCCAAGCAGTTGCTCTTTCCAGTTGTTTTCCTTTTTTTGGAAGCTGCTACCTGCCTGAAGTGTACATCTTTTCTAGACTATAGCTTCCTCAGAACTACAATTATTTTTTTTTCTCATTGCCTCTTCCTGTGTTCAGGTGTCTTGATTTCTTTGAGTCCATGTAGAGTCTCCTCTAGAAGGCAGAAAGCCCTTTTCTTAATCAGGGCTTCCCAATTTTTTTCATTTGTATGGCACCTGGGGTAAACAGACTCGCCCGTGGGCTCCAGCAGCCTCCACATGTGGGCTGCTCTTACTGCACAGGAATACTGTTGTAGCCATCCACCACTGAGACCCAGCAGCCAGAAGTGGGGCTCTAGGAGAGTTTTCACTCATTCAGGCATGTAGAATGGCAAGGAGGTAGGAGAGTTGTGGCACGGGGAGAGAGATTCATCACCATGATGACATTTCATTTTGTAGTTTTAACTACAACTTATCCATTTTTCTTTGAACCCAGGTCGTAAAGGTATCTTCACTGGAAGTTCGGGGCTGCAGATTGTGTACCTCAGTGGGACAGAGTCCTTAAATGAGCCGGTCCCAGGTTACAGTTTTAGTCCCAAGGATGTGTCTTCCCTGAGAACAATGCTGTGTTCAACATCCCAGTTTAAAGGTGTTGATATCTTGCTCACATCCCCATGGCCCAAGTATGTGGGGAACTTTGGGAATTCTTCTGTGAGTAGTGCTTGTTCAGTTGGAATTTCTAAAAGCAAATTATACTGGCTTAGTTTGGGCTTTCTTTGCTCTTTATATTGAGTATTTTAGTTCTTAGTACCTTGCAGTAGAAGTCTTTTGTGAAATTTTTTCCAGAATACTTAAAGTCATATCAACTGACCAAAGCAAAAGTTGATTTTAAGAGAGCACAATTCACAGATGAGATTGCTAAAATCTTAATTATAAATGAATGGTTCTTTAAATTATATTCTCTGCTTCAAGTGCCCTCTGTCAAGCTTCCTCTTAATATGTTTTGACTGTTCACTAATTTTCAGTGGAAAGATTTATAGCTAGCAGCAGTGCTGCAATTATATTTTGCCCCTTCCACTCCAGATTATAGCTTTTTGGATCAGAATATTTTTTTTATGGAATCATTATGGGATCAAAGATAGTGATCTAGAGATCTAAAGATGTAAAGATGGGAAATGAGATGTTGAAAACTTGGTACTTCTCTAATATGAAAAGTTTAGTTGGAATGCATTGGAGCTCACCATTGCCTTTGATCTGAATATTTTTATAAGCAATCTAGAAGATGTACACCCGGTTGATGAGTGACAGCTATTGTGGGTTGTGAAATACTACATTGGTGGAAATAAGCCTAGTGAAGATCTTGAAAGGTTGCATGTGAGGGCAGAACGCATCAGCTAAGCTTCAGTGAAGGGAAATGTAAGAATGTGTTTAGGGACAAATATCAATTAATAGTTGTAGAAGTATCAGCAATGATCCAGAAGGGCCTTGTAGACCACTCTCTGTCAACTTCAGCACAATGTGTCTATGACCAAAAGGGCCAAGAAGATACCACACATTGTCAGGGAGGATGTTGAAAGGAAGAGGGACAGTGCTCTCTTCTCCTTCCACAAACCCATGGTTCTTCATCTAGAGCAAAAGGGGCAATGCTGGTTACAGCGTAGAGAAGATAGAGCAAAGCAAGGGAAGATCCAGAGGACTATTAAGGTGATGATGGAAGGGAGAGACACATGTGATGCTCTGTAAGGAAGGATGAGAAGAATTAGGCCTCTTCATTTTGGGGGGGGGGGCTAAAAAAGGATTTTGATTAAAGTTTATAAATAACTATACAAGATATTTGTAGGAGAGAAAACATATAGTTCACCAGTCCCTAAAATACTACAACTGACCTCAAGGCCAATTCCCTGCCCTTAAGCAGAAACCTGAAGGAGACAAGCATAAGACAAAAGGAAGTTCTTGCTTTACTTAGTGGGAAATTAACTTTGGTAATTTCTTTATTTCCAGCTAATACGTTCTCTTAGAATAGAGTACATAAGTAATGTTATGGCTGAGAGGTCACACAATTTGTTGTTAATGGAAGCTGGGGATGTTCTGGGAACAGGCCTAACTTTTGACAAACTTTATGTTACAGACTTTGTGACAAGCGTGTGGTTATGCCCTTCCACAAACCACGCCTTCCTTTACTGAAGCAAAATAAAGGATTGCATGCTTATGTGAGGAAGTCCTTGAGTATTCCATAGCAAATATGCTTTGGAGCCCAGAGGCTCTGAAAGTTAGCTTTTAATTTTTGCTTTCCACATGGACTTTGTCTGCATTGTCAGAACTATAGGCGGACAACAGAGCAAATTATAGAAGCACAGTTTGTGGGCTCCAGAGAGAGAGCTTACTTTCCAAAAAAGATTTTAATAAACCCTGTTTTTGGTATTAGTGGGGAAGACTTACCTTACCTTTTAACCTCTGGCTTCCAGCAACTGTTCCTATTTCTGCATTCATAATACCCCAGTTCTCCTTATGTGTTTGAGATTTCTCTGATTGCCTTAAGTATGGAATTCACTCTGCTAAATCCTACTACCCACGTTTGTATCCACGTTTTAGGGACAAAGATCAATTCAAAGTGTCTTGTTATTTCTTTGCATTTCTTAGTAACTCTTAGATCTGTCATGATGACTGAGTTTCTGTTTACTAGGGAGAAGTGGATAGCAAAAAATGTGGCTCTGCTTTGATCTCCAGTCTTGCCACAGGCTTGAAACCAAGATACCATTTTGCTGCTTTGGAAAAGACCTATTATGAGAGGCTTCCATATCGGTGAGTAGCATTTTGTCCTTTTGGCGTTTTGAAGACTTTACCTTGCATCTTCTGTGTAAACTTCTCATGTTCATTTTAGCGGTATAACATCTTGGTTCCTTTTAGTTACTCAGACACTGAAATTAGTGACTCTCAAATCATTCAACTTCTCTGAATTTGTTTCATAATTTGGAATACAAGGGATTGGACTATATAGAGCCCCTTAACGGTTGAGGGTCTGAGGTGACAGTACTTTTTAATCATCATAACTTAAGGTAGCACAGTAAGTCCTGTTTTGATCAAGTCAAACAATACTCTGTGTATAGTCTTGAAAACTCAGTATAATCACTTCAGAAGTATTTCAGTTTGGGAATCAAGAACTTGTATCAATTTTTTTTTTTTTTTTTTTTTGAGTTTAGAAGTGGAATTTTTTTTTTATAATTTTATTTATTTATATTTTTATCCCCAAAGCCCCAGTAGATAGTTGTATGTCATAGCTGCACATCCTTCTAGTTGCTGTAT